AGAAATAAGGGTAGAAAATTTTTGGGAGAGAACCTAAACCCTAAACCCTTATAATGATTAAAATAAATATAAACATTTATTTGATTATACATTTTTTTGTTTATTGCATTTTTTAAATTTGTTTTACATTTTTATTGAGTCTGTCTGTGTATTTTTGTTGAGGTATTACTGTATAGGTAGGGTGTCTCTATTGGGCCCTCTCATATAACCTTTATGTATCATTTTTATTTCAATAAAATCAGCCCTTGGGCTTTTCATAATATATATATATATATCTAATCAAATATTGGTAAAAGGATTTTCTTTTATGCAATTAGAATACCTCTCTCTACCCACCTTGTTGCTTGTTTTGTTGTTTAAAACATTCGCGACTCCAAAATTGTAGCTGGAGGCAGGGATGGAAACTTGACTACCAAAAATCGAGAGCTATGTTCTCAAGTAGCCCCAATTCAAGAAAAATTGAGGAGAAAATGGAGAAAATGAAGGAAAAACAAGAAAGGAGAAGAGGAAGAGAATTAAGGGTAGAAAAGTTTTCAGAGAGAACCTAAACCCTTATAATGATTAAAATAAATATAAACATTTATTTGATTATATTTTCTTTTTCTGCATGTTTTAAATTTATTTTACATTTTTATTGAGTCTATCTATGTCTATTTGTTGAGGTATTACTGTACGGGTAGGGTGCCTCTATTAGGCCCTCTCATACAACCTTTATGTATCATTTTTATTTCAATAAAGTCGGCCCTTGATCTTTTCAATATATATATATATAGGAAGGGGAGGATCCATCTATGAAAGCAAAAAAAATACATTTGAACACACCCCTAGGGGTTCCTCTCCCCAAAGTACAACTCACACCAAAAGAAATCTCCAAAATTACAGGTATACCCAAAATCAAAGAACAAAAATCCAAAAAAAAATAAACTTGTGGTCTTTTATTTCTTAACTTGTAAAGAGAAAAAGATGTACAAAAAGTGTCTTCGGGTTATATATATAATCAAATAAATATTTATTTTTATTTTAATCATTATAAAGAGCATTTAATTATATGATTACATTTTTCTGAGATTGTTGTTTAGTTAGAGGGAGAGTGCAAATTTTGCCTGAAATCATTAAGTAGAAATTTTATTCATATAGAGGAAATCACATCAAGGTTAGAAATTGCAATAAAATTATATTTGGGTTGAAATAAACCTTATTTTAAGAATTTCATGAAGTTCTAAGGAAATTATGATTTCAGGCAGTGACCAAACCCGGCTCGAGGCCTGGAATTAACCAAAATGGACACAAACAGTGGAACGGTGGAAATCAAATATATGTTATTTTATTTATATCACAAACAATTTAATACTGAATAATTCATGAAAAAAACACTAAAAAAAGTAACAAATTAACAAGTAAAGATCTGTACGTTTCTGGTTATTGTTCTCGCCTCCTATACACATTTGCTCATCTTTTATTCATCTTGTTCAAAAGTTTAAAACCTAAAAAAAATATTAAAGCATTATAAAAAGTTATCTAAAGATAACCAAAAGCAATCACACTTCTAAACTACAAAAATCAAAGGAAAAGAAATCAATATGTATGCTCGTCTTTTATATCTTTACAAGAAATTTTTTACTTTGCTCATCATTCACATTTCTATAAAAAATCTTATAATATATTAATGCATGTTTCAATAATTGTTACTGAATGAAAATACTCAAATCTTCTATATGTATTTCCTTTAACTTTAACTTTATTTTATACTCTTTTTATATACATTTGTTTCATCATCAACAAAATCTAACACATCCCTAGCCGATATTATCATGTCGCCAAACGGTAAGCGATGTAAACATTACAATTTTCTGAGATAGAAAGGTCCTCACTCTCCCATAGCCGATATTTTTCTGCCAGCATAACGACTAATGACCTAAACATCTTAATTGTCTAGGGTGGTAAGCTTTGTCTAATCGTTAAATCATAATTGTCTGGGTGGTAGAGAAACTACGCTCGCGGATACACTGGCGTCTCGTGCCTATACCATTAGAGTGTGAACTCCTTTTAACATGCACATATAAATATACAAGCATTCATATATAAACTTTTCCATTCTTCATAACATGCATTCTTCAGAGATATCTTCGTTTATCTATTAATATACATACTTACTCTGTTAGGAAACGAATCGTCATACATTTATCTCATATCATTAATCTCTATCTCATGCATCTCTTATATCATGCATATCTTTCATATCATTCGTATCTCTGATTTCATGCATATTTTTCTTATCATGCATATTTTTTCCTATCATGTTTCTCACGCATATATTTTCTATCTAACAATATGAAAGATCTAACTAAACTAGAGCATACATAAAGTGAAATATAAATTTTGAAATAAAAAATATTACTGAAATTTAAAAATATAATTACCCATCTCGATTCATACGCTAGATTCTTAAGCTTCGATAACTAATTGGATGCCGCGATAATTTTTATCGTTGATATTAATAACCTTTAATATAAAACTTTGAGATTCAAGCAATTTCCGTTAATCAAATTATTCTTCTTAAGTTAGCATAGGATTAATTTATCTGAGTTTACAGAGCCACCCTTCAACTAGCTTCCACAAGCTTGCCTCGAGCTCACCGCCTTAGATAAACAACCTGAAATTCATAAATAAATTAGGATTTAATAATATCTTTACTCATAAAGTGATTTAACGCAAAACATAACTCATTTATCAAAACATACCTCAAATGGGCTTCACGACATAACCCAATTTTAATGATACCGTAAATCTTCTTCTCTCTTTTTCTTATCACTTCAGTCCTTTCTTATCTTTGTTGATTTCTTGCTCAAGACCTTTACGGAAGTTCACAGACCAATTTCATCGCTTTTATACAATCTCAAATACTCTACGATGACCGAAAATGAAAAAGATGCACTATTTGTGGCAAACCATAAAATGAAAATGTGAAGGAAAGGAATATCTCAAATAGTTGAATGAGGGTTTCATGCTCACCAAAACTTTCCCGGGAGCCCCTATTGCTTGTAATGGCTTCCCTGGTTTTGCTCGGTTCCCTGCTCGCCTCGACGCTATAACAAGTGTCAGAGGTTCCTTCAGCCGAGTTGTAGAAATCGTGTGAAGAATAATACGAAAAAGGGAGAATGGTGCAACACTAAAGGAAAATCCCAAAGGATCTTAACCACCTACTTAAGTGCGAAGAAGTTGGTGGTTGCGTTGCATAGGCAGATTAGGGGAGGACTAGGATAATTAAGGTTTGATTATTTAATTAACTCAATACCTTATAAATATTATATCTCTCATTTCATTCATAATTATAAATAGTGTTTTATATCGAATTGATCGATTTGACGAGTAGAATTTTATAAAATTAATTCGGTTGAAATTTAAGGAATGAAAATTTTGAGATATATTTTAAAGTTGTCAAAATTCTTACCCGATTTCACAAAAGTGATTATTACATGACTCTAGACGATGACCTCAATGCATGTTTAGAGAAACTTGTCGTGGGGTTGTTCCGTCAATTTTAGTGAGATAATCATTTATTGAATGAAGAGGAATACCTTTCTATAGAATTATTATGTGACAAATTAATATAAAACTGTATTTAGATATTCTGCATATTGGTGAATACATGGACATATTATAGAAAAGCAAACTTGAACTAACACTATTACTTTTATTATTTTTATTGAATTCGTATTCATATTCATTCAACCAATTACTTGCATGTATACTTATATAATTGCATATGCATATAAAAAATGATATTTAAAGATAAAATGATTAAGGGAATGTTACAAGCGTTGTGATACGCAAACTTTTATACAGATAACTAGAGCTGGTACAGAAGACAAATAAGTTCATAGAATTCTCAACTCTTGATATTTAGATCAAAATAGACTAGTAAATATCAATGGTGTTGTTGACAATTGTTATGTTGGAGATGACTAATCATTATCCGTAGTTGTGTAGCCAATGGGTTGGGTGACAATCCAATGAAAAGAATTAAGTCAAAACCTATACAAACACATACTAATATTCCAAAGACGAGAGACATTGAGTATAAAATCATTAAAGATATTTATATAACTATGCAATGCATGAATAAAATATATGTTTATTATTGTTTATTGCTTTCATACCCCTTAAGATGTTTCATATGATTAAAATATACTTGTTTTATATACTTTTGTTACTCATATTAATCATAATTGATATGCACGTTGCATTCTTTTCTCTTATAAAAACTTACTTTAACACTAACTATTTCATTGAGCTTGCAGCTCACTCTCATGTGTTGTTGATATTCAGGGAGGGGAAGAAGCACCTGAGCAATTAGTCAAGTGTGATATTGAACAGCTTTTGAGTGAAAAAATTTTGGTAAGTTATAAAGACTTTTGGGTACATATCATTATATGCTTGATTTGTTTAGAAAATTTATAAATGTTTTGGTGAAATTATTATGCGCATTTTCAAGTATTTGAGAATTTGAATAAATTTTGAATTGAATTGGATTGTGAATGTTTGTGCCGATTGAGTGAGGCTAATTTGTTACTTGTTGAGTCCTAATTTAGAACAAGTGCTGGTGGGAATTTTGTTTAACCAATCAAGTACCTCACGGGCCCATGTACATTCTTATTTTAATTTATCCATTGGGTTTTCCTTCCATCAACCTTTTTTTTCCCTTAAAGTAAATCATAATAAAAAGAAATTGAAGGTAGAGTTTAAAAGAAAAACTCAAGGCTTCTTGATGTAGAGTACAGCTTTTTTTCTCTCATGAAACTTAGTCTTAGAATACTGTATCATATTCTGACAATTTAGGAGTGCATTGGTTCTCAAAACAAACAAAACAAATTCCAAGAATGTTTTTTTTAGTAATTAGAAAATAATACAAATGTAGAAGATAAAATAAAATTCAGGGTACGTGCATTAGATGCATATGTGCTCTTGTCAAAATATATTCTCGAAACCAAAAAACCTACTTGCATTCTTTTAGAATGATGTCGCATGCTTTACTCCATTGTTTCTTCTTGAGTAACAGATCTGCCGGAAATGCTTCAATAACAACTCTAGGTAGCACCTGCAATTGTAGTCACCATTCCATGTTAATTTTATCGAAAATCTAGAAAATATAAATGGATTTAATGCGCCATTTCAGGTTATTAAAATAACTGAAAAGACAAGTCTCGTCAATTAGGTTTTAGCAAATGATGATAGAATTAAAAATTTATGGCATAAGACTTTGGGAAAAATAGCATTGTGATGAATGAGTATTAGAAGGCTCTCTTATAGTGGGACAGAGGGTCTTCTCTGTCATATATGATTACCTGAAGTTTGGAGCAGTCATTATCATCAGTGAACCTTATCCCTAACATTTGGGTCTGATTTTAAGAAGCCAAATTTTCCATTCATACCAGTTGAATACTCTGTAAGGTGTTAATTATATTTTGTGCAATTCATTTGCAAACTTCTATCAAATTCACCTTTAGCCAAGCCTTTTTTTCTTCACAACTCTCACAAAATTTCTAACGTCTAATTGGTGCATCTTCTATCCCTCTTGCACATGCCCAAATCACTGAAATCAATCTTTTACACCATAGTCTCAATGTGCTACACGCATTAATTTTCAAAATAATAGTCTTTTAGTATAAAAATAAATTATCTTGGCTAGGGAAGTGATAATGAAGAAAGAATGTTCAGCATTGACTCCATGGTTGAAAGTAAAAATACCGGTGGGTTAGCTAAATACCTACTTAAATATAATAAATTGATGAAAAACACCTGACCAAACATTATGCGTATTTAAAACAATCAATCTGCTCAAAATCAGAAATATGAGTTAATGGGGATTAGCTAACCAGAACATTTCCATTCTTCCTGATATCAGAAATCCAACCCTTGTCAACGTTACCCCGTCCATCCAAAAAAACCTTCTTCCCGTGACTGGAAAAAGAGTTTATTTTTCAATCAACTACATGAAATCAACTGCTTACTAGATCTTTAACTTCTCCATACCTTTTTAGCTCATACCAAACAGGTGAAATATGTGTAAATTTAGAGGTGAACTCCTTTGCCACTTCAAAACCTCTAGAATTCCTGCATGAAGGATGAAATTATTAGCACCTCAAGAAAACCGTTCTTGATGAATTCACGTGAAAATAATTAACAAAAACTCTGAAAACTTCTCTATCTTTAGAAAAGCAAATCAGACAAAAAATTTGTTATGAAGCAAATCCAAGTATAGCAAATCACAGGACGTGCTTAGGGCTGTAAATTTAGCTTGAAGATCGTTAATCGCACAAAAATTGATTCGAATTTTGGCTCGAATCAAGATCGGATTGAAATAAATGAGCCGAGCTACAAGGAAAAATTTTTGTTCAAATTTTTTTCGAGCCAACCCCAGCTCGACTCGAAATCGGATCATTAACAGCCCTAGTGATGTTAGGGTTGTGAGTATAGTGAATTTAGCTTGAAGATTGTTAATTAATCAAAAATTGATTCGAATTTTGGCTTGAATCAAGATTGCATAGAAATAAACGAGCCGAGTTGTTTATTTTAAAATAATTTTGGATCGTTAACTGACTTAGACGTGTTGTTAATTTGTTAAGCAAAGAGCAATTTTTTAAGTGATAAAAAGCAGGAAAAAAAAAACTGAAATAGCAGACTCAAACGTGATGCAAACATCAAAGTTATACTCAAAAAAAACATAAGACATGTGCACTGAGCCAGAGTAGTAGATTGCCAATCTTAAAATTAGATTTGTTTTCAGAAGTACCTTTTATTTCTTTATAAAAGTTTTCATTTAGTAGCCTCTTCTATAAAAAAAAATGACTATGATGATAATTACTATAGAGAATGAACTGTGTTCTCTAATGTCTCTGTTAATTTGGTTAGGTTTAGGTCCTTTAGGACAGCCTAAATTGGTTCTCCACCTTGAGCTATAATCCCAACGTAAATGTTATTTTTATTCACCTTCCTAGACTGATTTCTTTGCTTGCCTTCGACATCTGCACGAATCTGTTGGTGAATCTTCACTGTGATCACAGGTAACCTAGATGCACATTTCTGTTGAGGCACTTATCTCCCACAAGTTTTTTCAGTGTGTTTTGGCTGTCTCTTAATGGGATCAAGATCGGTGACTTAATGCTAACTTCTTATAATTTCAGGAAAGGCTCCATATTATAAATAAGGGAATACTTGCGACATAAAAGCACAAGTTCAATGATACTCTTATTGAATTTTATTTTTTCCTCTCTATGTTTGTGCTAGTATAATGTGGCTAATTCTTACAAATTATAATTGGTGACTACAATTTTCTAGTGAAATCCATTACCTAGTGCCACCGTAAGGCCTGGATGTTACGTGATTTTGCCTGGCCCTTTCCTTGTTCTACCTTATTGAGTGTATTTATTAAAAACTAATGGAATCTTAATTTTAATAGTACCATTGGTTTCGATTGAAGTTTTTTTTACATATTTCAAAATTTCCATGTGAAATATTTATTGGGCAATCATTCATTTTAAATTTGCAGAAATTTTACAAGTTTTCTGATTTAAATCAAAAGAGATGAGTATTTATTTAAATTGATGGTATGTGAAAAGCAAGGTTTAAGTTCGTGTATATGATTTTGTGCATCACAACAAATAGCTATATTAGGAAATGCTAGACTCTAAGTCTTCTGGTTGAATCAATATGTCAACCAGAGTTGGGGTTCAGTATCAAGGTCAATAAACAAATCATTATCGACTTGGTGCTGTGGAGTGATACCCAAAGATGACTAAAGTTGAGCCAAATATATAAATAATGGCGAAGCTCACTTTCAACTCAGAAATTAAGCTTATCAATAAGTTCAACTTCTTCAAATTTCTACACAACTATATCTTTTGACTATCTAATTAGGAACTAAACCCAAAACTTCATCTCGTTAACAAGCTTCCAGAACCGACCATGACGGGTGACACGGGAGCTTTCCCGCTTTATTTTCTCGCGGTACTGTAACTGCTATAATACAGCGGGATTCAAATTACAATAAACGAGCAATCGAAACAGTCCCATTTTCCTTTCTTCTGCTTTCTTTCCCATTATCATTCATTCATTATTAGTTATTTTCCATATAGGTGTTGTATTAGGGTTTGGAAGTCAGTTTTTTGCCTATGTTTCTGTTCAGGACAGCTGTTTGTTGTTGATGTTTCCCTTCTAGGGCTATATCTGAAGGCCAGAAGGTGCTCCGGCTAAAACTCGTCCTAGAAGGTGACTGTCTCCAAGGGTTCGAGTAGTGCTACAGCTGTAGCGCAATTTCATAGGGATATTTATCATTACCCAACTCCTCTACAGCCTTTCCAACCATCCCCGTAGCTGCCGTTGTCCCCGGACAACCCTCCCCTTTGCTGTCCCGCAGTCCACCACCCTTCGCTTTTGCTGCCCCTTGCTGTCCAAGCCACCCACTTCGCTGCTTTCGCTGTCCCAGCCACCTGCTTCGCTTCTTTAGTTGTCCCAGACCTCCACCTTCAGTACAACAGCCCTCCACTCCTTCCTTTTGTTGTTCTATTTTTCACACCATTCGTTATCACCGTTAAACCCCGCAAGCTCTTCCCTTGCTGTCATATCGATGTACAGCTGTACAGCGACGCTGCCGCAACCCCAAAACTCCTCTTCTTGTTGTCATATCACTGTCCAGTCATCCAAAGATGTTGCAACAGCCCTACAACTCCTCTCCTTGTTGTCGTGAGCCTACCCGGCCCCCTTCCAATGCACTGCCACCACTTACCTATTGCAGCCACCTCATCATACCAAGCGGTTGCCCACCTTCTGGCCATCCGACAACCAACTGCAGTCATCCCTTTCTACCTTTTGACCATTCCCCCACTTCCATGCTAGCTTTTCCTCCATAAACCGCAGCATTATCTCCCTCGACTTAAGCCCTAGTTGAGTTGTGTTGTGTCTTTGTTATTTCCTAGTTCCAAGTGTCTTTGCTTGTAACCCTATTTGCTTTTTGAGTAATAATATTTTTTTTCCCTATTGTGGTTCGTTTAACTAGGTATTATTTAGTATCAGGGCTAGTCTAACCCTAGTCCTATCCTAGGGCTTCTAGCATCCATATCTCCACCAAATTTTTTTTCTTTCCCACGCTACACATCTTCTAACTACCCACACCCGACACTCTAACCACGCCCCTTAGGAGACAATTGTCAGGATCGGACTTGGAATTTATTATGGATGACATACAAAGGTTACTCCACCAAGTGTTACATCAGCTCGATGCATTGAGGACTAGGGCAGGATCACCGTCAAAGACCACAAAGAGCATTTGAATCCCTTTCATATGGATGATTTTGATGCGGTGGAGGATAGACCAAGACGCTTCAAGATACAAGATTAGAGGAGACCGCTATATGAGGTGTTTGTTGAAGGATATAGATATTAGATGTCTTTTGAGCGATGTTGAGATATTAGAGACCGATATATGAGGTGTCTGTTGGAAGACAAGGAGATGCAGTGTTTGTTGGAAGACACCGAGCTGAAGCGCCTATTGAAAGATACAGAGATGAGATGTCTATTAGAAGATACAAAGATAATGTGCCTATTGGAGGATAAAGAGATCTAGGAAAGAAGAAAAAACGAAGAGTAGAACTAGCATTTATTTTTTAGGAGGGGCAAACTTATTATACAAATTAATTAATTAAAAAAAGAATAACACGTTTCAAAATTAAGTCTTATATTTCATTATCACTGATAAATTGATCCATATTATGCGCATTTCAATCTATTTTGCTTTCTTTTATAGTATTGCATAACGTCTTCATTGGAAATCAATTCAAACACTTCTTTTTCAATCAATTTTCACTCCTTTTCTCGTTAAATAACGATTTATTTACTTAATAATAACATAAAAAAAATCCTAATATCAACATAAATAAGTGGAATTTCTAATCAAATATTTATAATATGAATATTAAAATAATACATATTACACAAATGAATCATTAAAATCCTTGTAAAAATCCCAAGGGCAATTATATTAAGGAGAAAGGGATACAGATATGTTGTATGAGTGAGCCCAAATAAGCGTCCAACTCATACGGTACGACACACACAAAAAGAAAAAAAAAGAAAATTAAAAACCCAAAAGTAGATGGTACAAAAAAGATTAATCAGGTCAACCCACTTTAGTTCTGTCTCTGCCTCTAGTTCTCGGAAATGAGCTAGCTAATATATTGGTGAGTTGTGTACCATTGCACGAAGTAACCAAAATATCATCCATTAGATTCTTTAGCCCAAGTAGATCATCATTCTTCTTCTTCCTCCTGAAAGTGTAGACTTGTCATTCCTCATCCGAAGGTTGTTGCTCATTCGGATGACGTGGTAGTGTTGCAGTAGAAAGATTGTCAACAGTTGTGCTAATAAGTGTATGTGAGGTATGAGTTGTCTCCTCTACCCCTGATACTTCCTGAGGTAGGGAGCTGCAACGTTCTCCTAATTATCAGTCCGTATAGGTGAGGGTCCTTCATTATTATTTTCAATAGTGTTTGAAAGTGTAAGTAGCTCAGCAGGGCCATCCAGCTTATCATCGATCGCAGAAACAGTATTTTCAGAGGGAGGGTCCACAAGGGCAATAGAATCAAACACCAAATCTTGTTTTGTGGTAGTTTTCTCTCCAGGTGGAACAGATATATCCTTAGGTTTATTATTATGCACTTGATCTTTAGATTTCAAATTAAGATGAAGCTTATGGCATTTATCAAGGGTATGCCCAAACATCTTACAATGAGAATAATAAGGAGGTCTATGCTCCATGACGATTTTTTGCGAATATCCATTATGCGTTGTGGCCAACCAGACTTCAGTAACATCAGGCAAAGTAATATCTCTTTCCACAAGTACTCTGGCCACAGAATGTATGGTAAGGTTGAAAGTGGGTAGATCTAGCTTCATAGGGTCCCCAAGTACGGCACCAATAGAGTAAAAAATCTGATGATGAAAAAAGTGCATCTTGAGAGCAGGTAGACTAAATCATACCGGTACAATATGAGGTTCATGATTGTGGTCAAATTATGAGACCACTTGAGTAGCTTCATTGGTTTACCAGTATGTTAAGA